TATTTATTTATTTATTTGTTTATTTATTTGTTTATTATTTGTTTGTGTATTTATTTACTTATCACTATCGTAAGTTTGTTGGTAAAGTGTTTTACTGTACTTTTTTTCAGCAGGTACCATCTGGAAAGTGAAAAAAGTCACCTCTGAGTTTGAACGCTCAGTACCATCTGTTCGTGTTCTTTTTGAAAGTAGCTATCCCGGATTGGAGCTTATAGAAGTTTTTGTCGGTATACAGTGCGAGAAATATGTTCGTCTCACCAAAATTCTTCACTTCCTTTCTCGCTTTAGATCTCAGTTTTTGGAACTTTCTTGTATGTTCCGCAAGTGGGTCGAGGTTAGTTGTTCGGTGGTTCATGTTGTAATGTTTGGAAAGGATCAGTACTGCATTCACAGTTTTTAAAATGATTTTTCGAAACATTTGGCAGCTGAGTAGTCTTACTTTATTTATTTGTTTTTTTTTTAAAATATTTTTTTAATGTGTGTGTGGCTTAATTTTTCTTTATCAGTGATAGGTATACCCTCTCATCGTATACATTGTTCTAGTGTTATAAGGAAAATTTTTTTCTAGGAATGCTCGCTTGATAATGTAGATATAGGGGGTTTACCAAAAGTCGCTTTTGACATCATGCTCATCTATTTTCTCCAATCTCAGGACTATTTGCCACATCTTAGAGAGGTTGGATGTTGTTTAGATTAATTTTTTTAAAACTGCTCAAGTTTTGAATTTGAAAGCAGCTTGAATTACCGTACTTTTAGGAGTTTATTTGTTGCACATCCGAAAAATGCAGCGTGGAATCGCAAGAAGGTATAGATAAAGCCGTAAGTTTCTCTGCACTTTTAAGTGCTTCAGCCGTAAAAGTTCCGTCTCTGATGTTTGTTGCTTATTTTTTGTGATGAAGTATTTTTTTTTGAGTTTCAGGTTCAAATGTATGGCGTAGATAGGCGCGATTGGGACATAGGGTTTTTGTGGCTGAAACTGCTTGCGTATTATACTCTTGAACATGATTGTGAAAAAGTAGTGAAGATTGAATGGGATGACAGGACTGAAGAAGACATACAATTTAATAAAAAGCGAATAGCCGTGAGAGGTAAAAATTGTTAAATATTGTTCTTGTTTTCACTTTTCTAGCAGTGTATTTCTAAATAATGTATTTTTATTTCGTAGTTTCTTCAAATGGTGAGAGCTATGGAGGCACCAATGAAAACATGTATACTTATTCTTCAGGTGATCGCCATTACGCGATTAGGTCATAGAAGATGTGATTTTACCGTAAGTACTGTAATATTAAATGAAGTTTCTAGACCCCTGCTCCACGGACAGAGTTATGCAGTCGACTACGGCGTTTGCTCCGTATTTTTCCAATTGTTTTCTTGCTTCTTATTTGTATCTGAGGATACCTCGTGATGAAACAGGGCCAATAATGACTTATGTGTTGCATCAAGATTCGCACTCAAACTCGAAGAAGGTTGTTAATTTTGAATGTTGAATAATTCTTGGATGTTTCGCTGAAAAAAATTCTTCAAGCTTCTTTTTTTGGCAGAGTTTATTGTTTCACTTTGTGTTCTAGAAGGGGTCTCGGCAGAAGAAGAGTAAGCGTGAAATTTCACGGATAACGAAGCCAAGCCAGTCATTTGTTGACGATGGGTATGGTCGGCCACCGACATGTCTCAGCGCTGTAGCAAGTAAATTTTGCCTTTTGTTGCAAGAACTGTTAAGAATCGTAGGAGCTTTCTTTAAGAATTTTACACTTCGTTTGTCAATGGAAATGTTTTTAAGTCTTATTTTGTAGAACAAGATGATGAATGTAAAGCTGTCAGCCTTAAGTTATGTGAATTGTTAAACATAGGGGGAATGAAGTCTTTGGACCCGATGTCTGATAAGGTATTGTTTTGTTGTTCAAAAGATGCTTGTTTTTAATTAAAATTTTTTTATTTTTGTCTAGATCATTGTGCACTTTTGGGCTGATATGTTCCTTACTGATAGCTTAATGCCATTCAGGTAAATTTGCGTGGAATTAAACTTTGATAAGGAATGGGAGTTTTAAATTTTTAAATTTTACTTACTATTTGGTTGATGTGCAGTTTTTTAGTCTATTTTCGGCCTTGGCAGTGACAATTATAGTTCATCATTATTAAGATTTTGGGGAAGGACATTTAGAGGTTTTCTAAATGCTTTAGTTATTTTTTTTTTTTTGCTATAGTGAAGGGGATGAATTCTTAGTTAAAGTTTACTCAATTGGGTTTGAGTTTTTTTCAGAAGATTACGAAAGACACCGGAAGTAGTTCTAGTGTGTCGTTTTCTTCTGAATTACGAGATGTTGATGCTCACGTGTACTCTCGCAAGGAACTTTTCGAAATGCAAAAGAGCCGAGTTATTGACTCGTCACTTGTTGAGGTGAGTATTTAAGCTGAATGTTATAAACAGTCGATTCATTTTTGTGGTTTGAAAAGCAGTTTACTTTCTGGCTGGCTATGCTTACTTTACCGCCCATATATGACTGATATTTGTGCTGAGAATTGGTTTGTAGAAGTTGAAACACTTGGAAATCTATGGAACAGAAGGTGCTGAGTCACCGTGCATATGTAATGATGACGTTGATCAGGTTTACTTTTGACTTCACCTTTAGTTCTGTAGTAATTATGGAACTGTTGATGGAAGATCAAAGGGGGTGAAAATTTTTATAATGGTTTTTTTGTCTAAGTTTTACGTTGTCGCAGGGTCTACAACAAAAACTGGGCTCATTTGTTGGCTACACAGTGACTACATACACTTCAATTTTGTGAAGCGGCATCGGTTTACGCTTTTTTTTCAAGGGCTTAAAGAAGTCCTGCTGGAAGATTTCTTGTATTTATTACAGTACTCTAAAATTTTTCAACCCGACTTGTTTTGTAAAAAGTTTGTGTGACTTTCTTTTGCTTTAACATAGGTCTTTCTCGGCCTAGAAGTGTAGCACTTTTACTTAAATGTTGATAACTGTGTTCTTTGCGAGCTGTCAAGATAATTTTTTTATTTGTTTTGGCGAGTAGAGGGGTATGAGATATGTCCTAGTAATCACTTAGGGGCTGCACTATTGTGTTAGTTCTTTTTTATTGGTATGTAGTGATGGAATAATTTTTTTCAAAATCACTTGTCAGCTAGGTTTTATTCATAAATTGTGTATTAAGTCATCTTAAAGCTATCGTTAGTGGATCTTTAAGGAGGATGAAAGAAGCAAAAAAGGACAGAACAAGAAAGCAGATGCGGAAGGATGTACTGGAGATTTTATGTTGGAACTTCCTGGTTTCGATGAAACATATGTTTGTAGTTTTTTTTGCTCGGAAGGATGTTTTCGCTTACCGCAAGAGTACTATGATAACTTTATATGGGGAAACGCTAATTTCACTTCTAATGCGGTTAGTTATTTTATTTCTTTATTAATTTCCAGAGCCTTGACTTTATCTTTTCGCCTTTTCAGAAGCCTGAGATCTACTGTTCACTTTGTAATGAGTCCGGTCACCCACAGAAGTTGTGCAAAGGACTTCAGCTAGAATTGGCAAAACCACTTCCACCACTGACTGAAAAGGAGATTAATTTGATTAGTCTAGTGGTTGACGACGTCTATAGTCAGTCATTTTGTTTGTGCTTTCTATTTAGTAATTACTATTTTAAGCAGCTCAGTCTTGTAACTTTTTTACATTTTCGGCTTTTGATGTCTGAAGAACACTCACGAAGCTTTCATTGCGCGTTGTATTGTTTCGTTTCATCGGAATTTCTAGACTTTTACTTAAATCAATAGTTTTCTTTTTTTTGTTGTATTGCGTTACAAGGACTCTGGTAAATTTCTCTGTTGATAAGGTAGGGGGAATATTAAGTTCTTTTGTTTCCAGGCCTATGTAAGTTTTGTGAATAATCCCTGCTTTTATGACATTTTACCAATAATTGAACTGAGTGATTTCTTTTTCAGCTCGACATCGAATACAGGACGCGCATTTGAGAATGATTGAATTTTTAAGAAGCGATCTTGAAGCGGAACTTAAAGCGAAGCTGAGGCTAGATTGCAGGTTGATTCTTTTTGGTTCAGCTGGGAATGGTTTTGGTCTTGCGAGCTCTGATGCTGATATGTGTTTGCGGCTTTATGGAGACGCAGAGCCTGAGGTGACGCTTGTTTTACCAATTTTCATTAAATCATTTTGTTTTTAGTGTTTTGAGTTGCATATGTTTTCGTTTCATTTTATTGCCTCAAAATTTGAGAAAAAATTCATACTATTGAGTGTCAATTTGTCCTGAGTAAGTATAGTTTCTTTAGCCGTACGAGTCAGCTGATGTTATTCGCAAAATCGCAGAAGTCTTTGAGCACATGAATGGGGTTCGATCAGTGAAATCAGTGCTTCATGCAAAAGTTCCAATTGTTAAAATTTCGTGCTCAAAACGATACTCATGTTTAGAAGCTGAGTAAGTTGATCATCTCACAGTTCTTTCAAATTTAAAAATTTTATAGATTTTCATTTCCACTTTACGTAGTCTTCCGGTTTATTCCCCCTGGTTCATGTTAAGTTCTACTACTTCAGCATATCACTGTATAACGAACTTGCTATCATGAACACCCAGTTACTCAGAGCTTACTGTGATGTTGATGAACGGGTTGCTAAATTGGGTATCGCATTGAAAGAGTGGGCAAAAGCTTGTGATATTGGAGATGCCTCAAAAGGAAGCCTTTCATCTTATTCGTATATCATAATGCTCATCCATTTTCTGCAACGGAGTGACCCACCAGTGCTTCCTTTTTTGCAGGAGGTGGATTGTTTTTCTTGGGCACGAGGCTAGCTGTTCTGTAGCAAAAATTGTTGTTTCATTTACGTTTTTTTTTGCAAAAGTTTTCTAAATTTTTTATTGAAGTTATATTTGGATAATCTGTATCACTGAGGATCACTGTAGCGTTTTATTGTTCTGTACTTCTGGATTCTGTTTTAAAAATTTAAATTACTGCATGTGGTCTTCCGGACAATCAGTTCTTTTTTGCCGAGTAATCTATATATTTGTGGCAACTTTGATAATATCGAAAGTTAAGGTTGTTCCGAAAGGAAGGAAAAAGGTTCCCCATATTGTTGAAGGCTGGGACGCATATTTTTGTAGACCGGATGGCTTGGTTTGTTGTAATTACTTATGAGTTCCAATGCGTCTATTCTTTCGCACCTTATACTTAGATTGTTCTCTTTGAAAAAATGCACGCATCTTATCTACTGCTCTTAAGTTTTTCCTTGTTAGTTTGACAAGGTATGTCTCACTACTTCGTCTCTCGTAATTATCGTTTTCATTTTAGGAGTGGGAGTTTTCAAACAAAGAAGAAACTGGCAAGCTTTGGGTTGATTTCTTGGATTACTTTACGCGAGTTTTTGATTTTCGAAATGATGTGATACAAATTCGACAACGTGATTCTCTAGCAAAACTGGATAAAGGATGGCAGGCAAAACCAATGGCAATTGAGGACCCATTTGATTTGAATCATAACCTTTCTTCTGGTATTCATCGGAAAAGTTAGCCTTGTTTTTATCATTATTCTAATTGTCATTTCCGAGTGCATTATTTTCTGGATTATGCGAACAAGTTGATGAATTGATTGGAAATTATTATTTTATTCTTTTCTAGCTTTGCTACTAAGTTATTTTAACTTACAGCCATGATGTACATTTTAAAGTCATTTGCCAAAAGTCGCGAGATATTTGGAAAAATATCTTCTAATCCTAATCTTAACGCAAATCGCCTATCTTTATTTGTGGTAAGCTGGTTTTTGTGTTTACTTCAAAAACTTCTTTAAATTATGAAAGGAGTAATTCCTCTGTTTTGCTTGTTCAATTCTAGCCTTTAGCAACAAATAGCTCTGGAAGGTTTTGAACATTTCCATTACACTTCTGGATTTCAGAATCAGCTGTACAAAAGTTGTCTTGTCGAGGATGGTTTGCCTCTGGATCGAAATTGTTGCAGGAAGTGCCACCAAATTGGTCATTTTGTTGAAAACTGTCCGTTTATTAAAAAGTCATCCAGGTTAGTAAGGTGTTTTGGTATATTATTTTACCTGTATTGAATAAGCGCTTCTTTAATTTGTTTCGTAGGAATTTCGTTTTTATCACTTGCACTTTTTGTAGCTTTGTATCTTGTTGGTTTTCCCCGAAAAGCATCACTTTCTGTTTGTCATAGATGGCATTCAGACTTTGCTGTTGTTCACTTTTGCAGATGTGGCTATTCGTGAGACAGTTTTTTATACTTTTTCATTTTGCTATACGCTGATTCTTGAAAGCCTGGCAAATGAAACTTTTAAAGGCCAAAACGGCGATCGGACCAACAGAAAAGGGCTCAAGGCTTGTCGGATTTGCAAAATCGTGGTAAAGATAGTCCTCGCAAACTTGCACAACAGACAGTAATGCATACGAAGCATACTACCAGGAATGATGACCGTGATGTAAAAGTTAAGAATCGCCAAAATCAGGTAACAGAAATTGATTTTATTCCAGCAGGGATTGTTGGGCGTGAGGTTAGAAGGTTCAAAAAGAAGATTACCACGAAGTTGAACCCGATTTAGGATTGTCCAGCGAAGAAGGATGCATCTTTTTTCTGTCGAGGGATACACTTAAAGTGGTAGGTTTTTTGTGTAGTTTTTGGTAATATTTGCCTATTTTTTGAA